TTATGGCGCCTTTTAATTGAACCACATATGTGTGTGTGTTAAGCCCAGCTCTCTATTTCTGTCTCTCACGTTCTCTTTTTTCTTTGCAAAATACTCTATGTAAATTGGCGCTTTTATTTTCGTGGCAATGAACGATCGTGACTTGTATTTGTTTTTATCGTCTTTTAACACGTGTAGATTGATATCGACTGATAAAGCCCGGCTTTTCTCTCCGGCTATTTTATTGTAATGCACGGGGAAAAGAGTTCCAAAACCTTTATCTTAATTTATAATTTGTTTAACTTAGATATTCAAAACTGGTTTTAAATCTTTAATGATTACCAGAAAGAAATACCTTATAGATCATATTTGATAAAAATAGTTTTCAAATAGCATTCGGCCGGATAAATAAAATTGTAGAGCTAATTTTTCCCGGTGCAACTCTAATTACACCCACATACACACGCAAACTTTGCCAGACTGACACACACGCACACTGTGGCAGAAAACACCGCAGACCCCAATACATGTGTATGACATAATATTAATTTTTGCAGTCGACGTTGCCGTCGTCGCGGCGACTCCCCCATTTCATTTCAAGCCTTCGTCTATAGACCCCCGTTTCCCACCCCATTTCGCCCCCGACATTCTCCTGCCACCCAGAAGCTCGTAATCGCAATTCAAATGGATTCCAGTGAGTGCAAGCAAGATAGCCTGCTTATTACCGCACTTGATGGCGCTGCAGTTTTGTTTAGATTTCGCTGGTTTTCGTTATTGCAAATTGACGTAATGGCCAGTGGGGAAGAGAGGGCAGGAAAATAAGAAGACGGCAAGAAGTCGGGTTGGAATATTCAGAAGTTTAATAAAGCAAAGAAGACATTCACAACTTTTTGCTGACTTACCAAACATTTTAAATGTGGTTTTAAGCTTGAATATGCATAATTCACAATAATCACTGAAGGCTTAGGATTACTTACTAAAAAGGAAATCTTTCTGGATTTCTTGAGCTACTTTTAGCAGTGACTAGTATTCTCGATATCTTTTAAAGAATTTCGGACTTTGCCACAACGTTTTCAGCAGTTAGTCACTAAAGAAGTCAGATAAAGTTTTGTATGCTGCTGTTTTTTTTTATAAATGGAGTTTACCATGAGTTTATAATTTATTAGTTTATCAATATAAAAGAAACCCCGATAAATAGCAGGTGACGAAATTTGTAGAATATTAATTTGACTTGATAAACCCTTCTTGACGAATATATGCCTGGAATTAATGAATCTAATCTAAAGGCAATTCCCCTTTATGGTGCTAAGTGGACTGTACCGCTCCCCGATCGATTCAGAACAAACGCCCTGGCATCGCTCTATGCTCCATGCGTATACTAGATGTTTTTATCATCACGCCACCGAATGTCCAAGTCCACTTCCAATTCCAATTCCACTTGCAAGGCTGACTGATCGACACCCCAACAACGCCTGACTGAGATTGCTAAGAAATTTTCCAAAACTGCCCAGACGCGTTTTTTTGATTTTAGAGGGGCGCGTGCCAAGGCTTCCATTCAGGTTAGTCGCGTGTTTAGTGACCCGATTTCGGAAACAGATTAGTGGTACCAAACAAGATAATGGCTTGTGGATCAGCCCCTCGATTGCGCCACGGATTGTTTTGCTTTTCGGTGTCAATTATTCCAATTTTGCATCAGCAAATTTTCCACGCCCAGAAGCGTGCGTTGCGATCTTATCAGCCGAAGCGTAGTGAATGGAACTTGGAGGTTCTAAGACAGCCACGAAATCTCCGACCTGACCATGTGATCCAATCGTAATAAAAACGAATCACAGATAGGGAGAGCTCGTTTTGTACGGCTCTCGCGAGCTTTTAATGAGAGCTTTGCCGATCGGGCTGAGAAGTTGCTAGAAACTATTGAGTATTAGAGTACAACTGCACTGTCAAAAATAAACAAATCGTAAAAGTAAACCTTCTTAAAACTACATTATATCAGAATTAGATCAAATTTCAGGTTTTTATAAAACTTAAAGATTAAAACTAAGAGTCCTAAAATTCTTTATAAAACTCGCAGAATAAGACCGGTCTTTTGTTACATGGTCGGTCTTATCAAAGTCCCTATTTTCTAAACGTGAGTGATGAATGGCAACTGTGTGCTTTGGTCGTAAACGCTTATAATTAAACTTGCCTCCGCCTCAATCCCCACAATAATCATCATAATCACCAGCCGCACAGCCACAACTCACTTTTATGCGGCCAACTATATCATGAGGGTAAATATTTATAGTCGCCTGGTAACCTCGTCTTTCCTTTCCTCCTGATAACGAAGCCGGCGACACGATGACAGTGCAATTGATTGTGAGATGGCGACAACTGGCGACGACGGCTTCGTCGTTTCTATTTCACCAATTCTGGACAGCAGTCCATCATGGCAACCAGAATAAGTTATATGTGGGATTGGTAACTCAGGAAATCCACGGTATTTTATCGAGCTCCCCAACACTTGATTAGTCTGATATCAAAGGCCATAAATGCCGACGCAAGATCCAACGGGGTCAGTTTTTTGGGGTCTATATCGAAGTGCTGTGCATATCGATCGCAGGTGATCGGGCGGGTAAATACAGGTTTATCTCGGGGGAAGTCGTTCGGTGGAGTGGTTAAGTGGACGGGGGCTGGAATTGGGGGTTTCCTGGGGCGGGTCTACAATATATCAATTAGACGGCATCTGGACTGTTCTAATTAATGACGGCATGCTGTATAAATTGTGTATTATTCATGAGCTAGCTGTCGAACACAGTGGGCCACTTTGTGTATAAACTTATAAACTTACTTAAATCATGATTAAATATTTTTAGCAAATCAGTTTTTCCTTTTTTTTTTCATTTATGAATTAAAACTCTAATAAGGGCGTCAAAAAGTATGCTATGAATTTCGGCAATATACAATTACAATTAATAAAATGTTGACACCTATAACATTTTATGTGTCTTAAAACCATATCCCTAATCCACAGTGCCTAGTGACGTTTCAATTAAAGCCCGAACATAATACACTAGGTCCCCCCACCTCTCCCAAATTTTACGTGTGTGCTTACCGTTATTTGCTTAAGGCTCCGCCGCTTAGCAAACAAAAAATCGCCATAAAAATAGACAACGTTGGAAAAAAGAGAATCAAAGAAACCAATTTGTAGCAATCAGATGGCAAAATCAAATAATTTGTCACATGGGGGGCTTAACCCTCGCAAAAAAAACATTGCGAAAGCTTACTATCACACGCCCACCCAACGCTCTCTTCCTCGCTCTCTCTTTTCCCCCTGTAGGTGTGAGTGAGAAGCAGAGCAAACAAAACCGATTCGCACTCTTACCAATGCACGTGTTCCTTTTGTTGTTTTAGAAGAGAGTAAGGGGTATAGAGGTGGGGCAGACAGGTGCTTACTTACTCACTTAACCACTTACCTCGAACGGATAAATCCATGATATTCCCCTTTGGCTCGCCCATTGCACTCGCTCCTTTTCGATTGCCAATCTCCAAAAACCGATTACCAAAACACACGGTCGCAGCAACAACGCGTAACTGAAACTATTTTCGAAAAAGATTAAATCATTTTCAGAGGCGGCGCGGGGGAGCATGGCACATAAATTGAAAATCAAAACAAGAGCAACTTCAAGTACTATTCTCTCTCTATATTTGACTCTCCCTCTCTCTTTACTGCAGCCGGTGGAACGCATCACGTGGTCTTTATCTTGACTGGAGCCATTCAGTGGGGCAGAGCGAGAGGGGGCTAGTTGGGGAGATCCGAGAGAATCCAAATATATACGACTATCTCAGTCGCTCGCACGGCCCCCTTATATAAGTCTTATGTAACGGAGAGTCGCAGGGGCATGCGCACATGGTAACAGTGGATCGGGAGCCTTAAAATTAGAAATCTATACTAAGTACCCACTATGCGACTATGACCGATGGTGACTAATCGCTGTATTTCTATTTTAGGGGCAAGCGGGTCAAGTTGCAAAAGGATTTTACCTCCTTTTTTGATATTTTATAATAATAAAAAAATTAAAATTTAATTTTATTTGTCGAAGTTAATTCTTAAAAAAAAAACCATAAATTTGGGGTCATGGTTTTTAGGAATCAGAAACCATCAAAAAAAAAGTTTCAGTATTATCTCTTTATTTTATGTGACAGAGTGGGGTTATATACAAAGGGAACTTGGCCACTTCTGTTATGATAAAAGCCGGAAAATCCTTGCCTCTAAGCTAGATAAACAGGGCCGAACATCAGCGCAAGACAATCAAATTGATTGGCAACCTGTCTCCCCAATTTAGATACCACATAAGGTATGGGAATTAGACAGGGGATTATTAAACTGAAAAACCAGAGGATTGTTTTTGAATGGAAACAAATGCTAATGCCTTTTTAAGGGCGGACCTCATAAAAAACGTCGATAACTCAAGTGATATTATTAGTTTCTTAAGAAATATTTTTGTAGTTGGTATTGTTTGGCTCAAAAAGACGACATTTTGTTACGCTATTGTTATTATATTACGCTTTTATTAATATAACAGTGCAATTTTTGGTAAAGACATTGGCATTCTGTTTATTTGTTGAGACTTAATAAACTGATATTAACGTGATCTTTTATTTCAATCTGTTATTTATTTTTATTAACATAATTTTAGCAATCGTTTTATTTTCAAGGTTCCCTTTAATGTTATGAAGTGTGGTAAATAATTGGATTTGACACAATTTCTACTTGACACTTTCTTTTTATTCTACATGGAATCTATAGCATACTTTTATGTTGAATTAAAACGATCACTGTGCAATATAGTGAAGCCCTCTGTAGACTCAGAGTGTTATTTTGTTGCCATGGTTGCGTCTCTCCTCACGAAAAACAATCCGAGGCCCTAACCAACTTTTTTAGCAGAGCAAACATTTTTTTTTTGGTATTTTTTAGTGACATTTTGTAGTCGATCGAGAGCTTTAGAGGAGCCGTTCCACCAGAGCTCATTCTCCGGAAAAAAGCTCAACGTTTCGGACGCAGAAAAAACTGTTGCTGCTTCTTGTGAATTTAGCTTGTGGTACGCGCGCGCAAATAAATCGCAAACAATTTAAATTGATTACCAATGAATTTCTATTAAATTGTATTGGAAAAATTCGCTCGAGTGTCAAAAACCAATTGATTTATGTGTGAGTGTGTGAAAGTGAGCTTATGAGTGCGTGAAAAAATGCACTAGCCCAAAAGGAAAAACACAAAAGGTGGAAAACATCAACAATGCCAGTTTAAAACAGACCGTAAAAGATACTAGAGAAACACAGAGGGGTACTACACAAGAAATAAAAATATAAATACGAAAATCCCGATTCGGCGATAGAAATGCAGAAAATCACAACAAATATGCAGCAGACAACGGATCTTGACTTTGATTTCCAGATGCCGTGTCGCTATTTCAAAAGTTCTTTTGCGCGTTCGCTTTCGCTGAACAACAACAACAACAATAACAACAACGCCTTGACATTGCCCAAGAAACCGCAAACAAACGAGGCCAAACAACAACAACAACAACAGCCACAACAGCAACTGGAGAATCAGGAATCGCTAGAGAGAGACAGCGAACAGGATTCCCACTCTCCGTGTGCAACCCCGCCCCCTGCTCTTCCAGCACGGCGTCACACCGCCAACATGATACACTTTGGCGCCGCTAATCAGCTGCTCTCCCCTCCGCCGCCCAACCACCCCCCGCCGCACCCGCCACACACCCCGCAGCATCCGCAACCACCGACACAATCCGCCAGGAATCTCAATCTCGTCTGGCCAATGCAACCGACACATCAGCAGCCACCAACACAGCAGCAGGTTAGTACAGTGAACACTACTCTAAAACTCTTCCAAGAATTTTATATTTATATGGAAAAAATAGAGAACAGTGAAAAATGCTTTTTTTATGTGACCATTTTTTTATTAGGTTCATTCATTTTTAAATCCATCTTAATAAATTCTAATTTAATTTTAAAAGTGGAGCCTAATATGCATTTTCAAAGGGATGCTTTTATTTTAAAGTGCCCACTGTATCGCTTTATGCTTTCGTTACTTGTCTCCGTTTCTCCTCTCACTCTGCTCCACATGCCCATCTCCTTGCACTTTGTTATGTTGCCTTGGCAAAAAAAGGAAAAAAGTTTAGTTTCCTTTTTGGAGCAACTGGATATTTATGTCACCGTGTTGTTTGTCACGTAGCCTTGACAGCCTCCCCCTCCCCTTAACCACTGCCTGTCTTCACCCCAAAGACTCTTCGCCTCCTTTGGCTTCTCGCAGTTGTTGTTGCTGGCCATGTTATGACAAAGTTTTTTTGGTTTCGCTGATTTTTTAAGGTCAACTTGATTTATGTGCGAAAAGTGCTCGAATCGTTGGCAGGTCGTGTGTGGGTTGAGATTGGAGAGCAAACCTCATTTGGCATTGATAAGGGTGATAAGGGGGAGAGTTGGCTATATGTAAGTGGGTGGAGGTGGGGAGTTTGTAATATTTATTAAGTGCTTCAACGAGTTCAGCAGTGGACATCAAGTGGAATTGAAAGTTACATTGGAGAAACCTCAATTTAAAGTTTGTCATACATAAAGTTTTGCAAATGAAATTTATTTGTTAAATGTGCTAAACTTTATTTCATAAAAATAATATCGCAAACAGGGGTAAACAATTTTTTGAATTTTTCTGAATAAGAAACGACCCTTTCTTCTCAAACACAACATTTAGATAGTTAGATTTGTGTGGTACCAGTGAACACAAACTTTTTATTCCAAACAAACAATTCCGTTTCCGCAAATTCAAAAGTTTTCCTTAATTGTTTCGATACTACGTAGTTATTTCAAATTCCTTTTCATTTCCTATACCCTTAAATTAGACTTTCCTACCTCCATTTCCATTCCTTTGATTTGGAGGTCTCTGCCGTCATCGGCCATCACCACCCTCAAACTTTGACCTTATCGAACAATCACAATATTTCCTCGATTCGTTCTCAAGCAAATATTCCATAATCACCCACCGATTCCGCTGAAAACTCAAGCGTAAACATCGAAAGCAAAACTTTTGTTTAAAGAAAATGCCAGCAAGGTCTTGGCCTAAACTGTAATTAGCCATAGAATTATTGTGTGTTGGCTCGGCTCCTTATATGTTTATGTTTTTCGGGCCTAGAGCGTTCATTAAGGGCGGTCGAAAAAGCGACTGCGTGTAAAGGTCATCCGGTGAATTAATGATTGGGTTTTTGGGTGGCAATTTCCCTGGCCAATGGGGGAGCTAGATACGAGTATATATGCGATTTTCGTTTTGAAATTGGCAGCCATGGCAACAGACAATCAACAAGTTTATGGCCTTTTGTCTCGGGCATGCAAAACTACAACTACTGGCAATTCGATACGGCCTAAGTCCCCTTTTCCAAGCCTCATTACGAAATGTCGCCAAGATTTTGCGGCTTTAATAGCTGCCGATAAAACGTAATGAGAAAAAGTAGCAACAAAGCTTATTATTTTTATTTTATTTTTATTACTGTCTTTCTTTCTTTTTTTTTTTCTTTATGATTGTCACTTGATATTGTTGCCGGTTTTGTTGTTGCGGCCTCTTGGCCACACTTGAATGGCTCCGTTGTCGCATAATTTGAATTTTTCTAACGCAGCTGCTGCTGCTGCTGCTTTCCCTATTGACTACAACTTGCAGCTTGTGGTGTAGGAGTTGCATGCTCCACAGTTCCATCCTCCCGCGGAGGAGAGTTCATTGCATCGGGTTTTCACTTTCAATTGGCTAGCGGTGAAATACGAAAAAAGCAACAAACCGCATTCGTTGACAGCTGACTTACCAACTACAATGGCCATCGGTGGCAGGCGTGAATAGAAGTCAAACAACGTTGACCTTACGGGGGATATTACCCAATCCATCTGGCATTAGCCCACCGAAGTTAAGTCAAGTTACGGTAAATAACTATTAAATAAAGTATAAGCTCTAACAGTCATTAAATAACTTTCAACTTAACTTTACATCAACAATAGTTTTTCAAAGTTAAAATAATTGTGAATGGTCGTTAAACACCTTTAAAACCTAGGTAATTGTTTTTTTGTTGTATATTTTGACAATTGTATTTTTTGCATGTCAACTGTTTGAATTGAATTTTACTAATTACCAACAGTTTCGTATTTCCTAACCTTGATTTTCGACTGTACATACATCATTATCTCCTGTCATTCGGTGCGTTTAGCCTAAAGATTGTCATATCGCTTAAATGTCTTTATTATGTCAGTTATAAGACCATGACCAAAGTAGGAGTATTACACAGTCTTTTTTTCTTTGGCTAATTGACGTTTAGGGTAATTGAAGGTAATTTCAGAGCATAATAAGGGATCGTATATCAAGCCCCAAGTCAAGATTGAGGAGAAGCGTATAAAATGAGTGAGGAAAATATGACAATAATTTTCAATAAAGTAAAGAGGAGAAAAGCTGATCTAGTTTTAAAATAATAAATCGGGGCCACAAAAAATCCATGTTCAGCACAAAATAGCTTGAGTAAATAAAGATTTAAGCGAAAAAGATTTGTACAGGTCAACTTTTCATAAAGACCAAATAAGTAAAGCTGCTCCGCTAAGAATTTCCTTATACGAAGTTCTCCGCTGAAACGCATCTGTTATAGAGTTCATTGGCTCACCATAAACTCTTTAAATTAATGCAAATTTCTTCTCACATGTTCCCATTTAAAATAATATCCATATAAATCTGCAGCTTTATACATTTCCCTTTGGCGAAGGCGAAAAAAGAAACACCAAATTTCGTATATCACTTCGTTGGAAATCCCTCGCCTCATCACCGCATCATCGCCCGAAGTTTCTTCACATGGGGATCTATGGGGGATATGGAAAGAGTGCTCTCGGCCATTCGGCCACCATTTCATTCCATCTGCTCGTCAATCGTCAAACGCCAATGTGTTGGGGCAAAAAGGGGGTACAAGTGGTGAGGGGGCGTTGCAGAAGTGCAGACGCCACTTTGCCCCAGGTTGTATTACGCAAAGAGCAAAAAAAAAGGATTGCATAGAAATATTGAAGCACGAAGAAAAAATTAAATTGGTTAGGTGGACATATTTAGTACCCTTCAAAATAAATATATACTCAACCTTCCATAAATCTGAAAAAAACATTCACTTTAGTAAGTTTCTTTATAAATAAAAATTTAATAGGATATCTACATAACACTAAATTACTTTTAATTTTACAAATGTAGCCAAGAAACGTAAGAAGAAAAAATTAAATCCACTTAACTTAAGACAGATACAAATAACAATACCTGGTAACTTTTGTGCTAGGACTGATGGACCTCCATTACACAAAAAAAAATCGTGTGTCCGGAAAAAGAAGGAAAATGAATGTGTCTGTTGATTTGGTGCATTTGGCGCTGGCCACACAACGCATCAGGGAGTTGATTGCCCCACCAGTCCCCAAAAGCCCCGATTTCCCCGGGTTAGCAGCTCCCACATAAATCGTGAGCGAAGGAAGACAGAGAGAGAATTTCCTCGACAAGTGTGATATTTATTTATAGCCAGGCCAACTCGTGCGAAAATTGCATGGAAAAACGGCCAAAAAAAAAAAAAAAAAAAAAAAAAAAAAGAAGGACGCACAGAAGAGAAGATAAATGCAGAAATGGGTTAACTTGGCTTGAATGTTTTATTCATGCAGCCGGCTATGTGCAATGAATGAAATGCATAAAGGCGAAGAAGCGATGCTGAAGAAATCATAACAATTTCTTTTCTTTCTTTTTCTGTTTCTGTTTCTGTTTCTTTTTCGAGATTGAATAACCGTAACAATCGCAACTGTCAAGACAATTTGGGAAATATTTTAAAAGGAGCTTCGTGTCTGCATTGGCATTCCAATTTGGCCGGGACCCAGCTCTCTGTGGCTTAAATCTCAACTTGGCCAAGTATTTCCATTTGGCAAGACTCTTGATTGACTGACTGATTAACTGATTGACTGACTGACTGCCAGAGTGAGCTGGTCCGGGGCATTTTGCATTTTGGCTTGATCGTGAAATCGTCTTTCATCGCCGCAGTCTCATTAGGCATTTTCCCAAGCCGGAAACTATTTGGCCATAATATTTGGTCATCTCGCCGGCTTTTCCCCTCTCCTTTCTTCGCTTTCGGATTGACACATTGAAATAGTTTGGGTTCGCCTAGGACTGGTTTAAGCCAAGTTTGCTTTTCCACTTTTATATTTGGTCAAGTTTTATTTGCGTTTGGGCAATCACTTAAAAACCTCGAAAGTGCGAGGAAAAATAGCAAAGTAAAGTACAATTAGCTTTGGTAATTGAAAAATTGCTTCATATACGAGAGCCATTTCCAAGTACTTTGAATTTGTAGCCACAAAACTGATGAAGAAAACAGGGAATATTTTGGAGAAGGGGATACCATCAGGGCCCTCCAACAAATTGAAATTTAAAGAGGCACGTTCCTACCGCACAACATTTAATTGTTTTTTTATTAACTCAATTAATCAAACGTGCATATAAATTGTTCCTGGAAACATTATTTCAGATTTATTTGGCATGCGCCCACATTTCCATAATTTCTTTTTGGCATTTTTCCGCAACTCATGGTAAACAAAGTCATTAAATTAATTTGTTTAAAGTTGTTTAGGTGAGAATATTTTTTTCGATTGTACGTTTACTTCTAGCAAAAGTAAATAAGAATAAAATGGCTGGATAGGCACTTTAAGGGGTTATATGCAGTTGCGATTTTGAAAAAATCGAAATTTTTTTTTTGCCTATTTTGAATGTATATATATCTAAGAAGATTATCTGAAAATTTCAAAGTATTCCGGTAAATAGTATTGGAG